CCGCCGCCGCCCGCTGCCGCCGCGGTTCCGCCGGCGCTTGCGGTCACCCAGAAACATGGAGGCTCCGGGTGCCCATCGGGAAGGGTAAATGGGTGTCGGGGTGCTCGGCTGCGCGTGCTGCCTCCCCCTGCCTGGGCTGCGGCGCCCAGAGGGGCTGCGGGGCACCGGGCGGCGCAGCCGGCAGCGCGGCGGGCTCGGGCTGAGTCCGGGGCGGGCGAGTCTGTGCCGACCATGGCTGCCGGGGCGGGCGAGGCGGGCTGGCGTCCAGCGGAAGGAGAGAACACGGAACGGGCTCGGGGACCCTCCGGGCAATGCGGGGCGCGGGGCGGGGGGCGCAGAGAGGAGCTGGTGGGTGATGGGAAGTGCAGTGACAGCATAACCATGTCTGGTAAATAGAGCTGGTTGGTAGGACCCATATCACTTGCGACGGCCGGGCAGCGTTCTCCCCTCCGGCTCGGAATGAAAACGGCTTCTCGGCAGAGAAGGGCTTTTCCGCCTCCCTGGGGCTGTGGGCTGCCTGGGTGACCCCGCTCTTAGGAGGGAGGAAGCCAAGATCTGGGGCAGCAGCCTACTCCCCACCCCCAGGCTTTAGGTTCCAGTGTTTTCCGAAGGAGATCGAGCCTAGGAGCTCCCTCGGATCCTAGGGGCAAAACAGCTGGGCTGCGCTCGGGCCCGCCGCTAGAGCCCCCTCCGGATCGGGCAGGAGGGGGTTAAGGTGGCGCTGACTGCCGCGGCCAGCTGGTGGGTCTGATCCACTCGCTCGGAGCCGAGCGCGGAGCGCGCCCGGCGGAGTCCCGGCCGGAGCCCGGGGCGATGGGGAGAGGCCCCGGACCCTTCCCCGCCCTGGGGCCGGCAGGATTGGGCCGGCAGGGGGCCAGCCCGGAAGCCGGCTTCCTCCAGGCTCCCCCTTCTCGCCTTCCCCCTCGAAGCCAGGCTAACTGAGCCTTGGTTCTGCGCTCACTGCCGAGGGGACGACGTGAGGGATTTTGTCTTGGGGAGAAAATCGGTGGTCGAGCGCCTGCCCAGTTCAAATGCCACCGCGCCCGGAGGGAGGCCTGCAGTTTAGGGATCCCTGAGGGAGAGTAAGTCCTGGGACCAAGCCAGCCAGCTTTTGGAGATCGACCTTTCTGTGTGAGGAGTCTCCCTAAATGAGCTCTGAAGGAGTGTGTGTGTTGGGGGGCCAGAGTGGGGAGGAGCCGTTCTTCCTCCAGGACTCTGCAGAGGACAGAGCTGGAAGTCAGGCTGCGGCGTAGGAAGCCCTCCCCTTGGGAGATGCTTTGTCCTGACCTGGGGGTGGGAGGCTTTGCCCAGAGTCCCTCCTGATGGCTGCAGAGGACCAATGGGGCATTTGGCTCAGCCCGGGGAGGCCCCTGGAGGAGACAGGCCCAGCCAAGTCTGAAGGCTTGTTCCCAGGGAGAACATACTTCCAACTGATGTAAGCCTGCCCAGAGGAGGCTGGGAGGCTGAGGGATAGTTCTCAGGTGTGACACCAGAATGCAAGGTGGGCAGGGAAGAGAAGCTGCCAGCGCCCTCCTAAATCTTGGCACCAGCGGCCCCAAAGCCCTGATTCCACCTTGTTTTTTCCAGGCAACGTCACACCTCCTGAGGACAGCCAGGAGGACTCTGGCTTTTGCTGAGCATTGCATCTTGCCTCCTTCCTTTCAAAGGCTCCAGACCCAATCTCGGCTGTCCTCGAGTCCTACGTGCCCTTGACCAGGCATCCCACTGGCCCCTCCAGCCCAGCCCAGCCCTGGAGCTCACCTCCAGGACCTGGAGCCTACCCTCCTGCCCAGAATGACTCACCATTATTTCTAGCTCAAGTGAGAAGACGTGATGGGGAATCAGGCTGCCTGTTTGTGTATCTAGGATTCCTGCAGCATCGGATCAGTTCTGCAAGGAAGAGAGCTGCAGATTCCTGCCTTGCCAGGTAAATCAATCTATTATTTAATAACAGCCATGTGTAGAGTCATTAGGGTGTGGGCAATGAGAGAGGCCCAGGCCCAAGGTCCACCACTGCAAATACCTCCCAGGGTGCAGGTATCTGCAAGACGTTAATTCACTGCCTGGGGGAAGGTTCCCTTCCAGCCTCTGCTATGGGGCTGTGCTCCATGAAGCCTGTGCAGTGCAGAGGGACCTGTACCGGCCACCTGCCCCCAGTGCAGGGCATTCCAGAGCTTTCTTGAGAGACCGCCACCTGCTCCCCTCTCATCCCCAGCCAGGCTACGAGGTGAACATAAATCTTACTTTTTTGTGGTGGTGGTCATATTTTTGAGCTTCTTGGCTGAGAGATAAGAGAGAAAAAGCAGCAACCCAGGTCCAGTTGCCAATGCTGAGTGGTCTTATGTCCTTAACCGCCTCTGTCTTTCAGCCAAGCGGGGCTATCTCTCTGGCTCTCAGAGAGACCTGGGGGCTCCCGTGCAGGAGTGCAGGCCGATGCTGCTGAGTTTCCTGGGGCCGTAAGCAGCGCCCTGAGCTCCCTGCCGCCAGGCAGCTAGAAGGCGTAGTGAGAGGCGCTTCTCTTGGTTCCAATTATGACAGTGGCCACCGGAGACCCAGTGGATGAGGCCGCTGCCCTCCCTGGGCACCCGCAGGACACCTATGACCCAGAAGCAGACCACGAATGCTGTGAGAGGGTGGTGATCAACATCTCAGGGCTGCGGTTTGAGACCCAGCTAAAGACCTTAGCCCAGTTTCCAGAGACCCTCTTAGGGGACCCAAAGAAGCGGATGAGATACTTTGACCCTCTCCGGAATGAGTACTTTTTCGATCGGAACCGCCCAAGCTTTGATGCCATTTTGTACTACTACCAGTCTGGGGGCCGGTTGAGGCGACCCGTGAATGTGCCCTTAGATATATTCTCTGAAGAAATTCGGTTTTATGAGCTAGGAGAAGAAGCAATGGAGATGTTTCGGGAAGATGAAGGCTACATCAAAGAGGAAGAGCG